GTGCTCAATCAAAGTAGTGTTCATGGCGATTCGTTTAGGGGGAATCATTTCAATGCCCATATACCGTCACCGTCAACATTATAAGGACACAAACGTAAGTTTTGGTTTCTTTTCTTGTCTGTCTAGTTTTTTTCCCGTATTCATAGTTGAAATTTCCTGTTTTTAGTTTTCAAAACCATACAAGATTGTAGAAGTCGTACGATCTACAAGCAATGAATTACAAGTATGTGTATTCAAGTTTGTGTAGTTTAATCGTTTTATGCGTTCACAATCACATCCACAAATACGAGTTAATAACACAATTTAACTCAGACATTTCAGCATATTTTGTTACTCAGATGACAAATTATTGAACTATTTGTTTTCTTGTGATATGTCACAAGGATTGCTCTGATAAATTGAACTATTTCTTCAGTGTGATTGTTAGTTTTCCTTTGCAAATGATGAAAGTCAGAACTATGAATGAAAATTTCTGGGAGAAAAATCTGTTTATGTAACACATTTCCTCACTAAGGTTTTATTATTTTTTCTAATATTACCTATTATTACATGGCCATGTCTCAAAAGGACTGGAAACAAACAGATTCAAGAATTTGATTGGCTAAAGTCAATATTGACCGTGGTCTAGATTTTCCCATCTAGACAGGCATCTAGACCGATCTTGTTGTAACAGTTGTCCTCAAAAAATTACGAACAAAGAATATGAAAAAATTGGCTTGTTCCTGGTAATAATACTAAATTGAAGAATCGGTAGACCTTCACAGGGAAGCAGGTAAAGAAAACGAGCAAACATTGGCAAATTTGAGTCCTGCCAAGGAAGCTATGAGCAAACATGAAGTCAAAATTGAGAAATTTTTGCAGGAGCAGAAATCCAAAAACACTCAATACAAGACTAAGAGCGATTTAAATGTGTGGAAGAAATTTTGTGAGTCACTGAAAGAGTCTAGAGCAATTGAAGACATACCTGCCAATGAGCTTGACCTTCTTTTGTCCAAATTTTTCAACTCCGTTCGTAAACATAATGGCACTGAGTACGAGCCGGGTACTTTAAGCGGCTTCCAGCAAAGTTTTCAATGCCACTTGCATGAAAAAGGAAGTCTGATTAACATTCTTAAGGATAAAGACTTCTGCAAGTCCAGAGAGGTACTTGCTGCCAAATGAAAGAACCTGGTTCCGCAAGAGAGAGGAAACTGTCCAAATGCCAAAAGAGAGCTCACTGAAGCCAAAAAAAGATGCACTATTTGAAAATGGCCAGTTCGGTGTTCAGGATCCAAAATCATTACAAAGGGCTTTGTGGTGGTTTCTTTCTCTTTGTTTTGGCTGGAGGGCTCAAGATGAATGCTGGGGAGATGTAGGATTGGCCAGTGATCCTGAAACTGATTCCGAATACCTTGTGTGGAAGTCAGAGAGAGGCAGCAAAACACATACCGGACAAGATGGTGGTCATCAAAGAGCGTTTGAATGGAAAGCGCACACAAGTAACAACAAGTCGAGATGTCCAGTTGAATTTTACAAAGCTTTTCAAAGTCACCATTCCGAAGTGATGCTAGAACCAGATGCTCCTTTTTTATCTCGCCATAAATCACCAATGAAAACCAAATGACAAAGTATGGTATCTCAACAGACCCCTCGGAAAGAATGAAATTGGCAAGTTCCTCAAAGCCGCCTTTGCTGAAGCCAAACTCAATGACACAAACAAGAACGTTTCTAATCACTCGGTCAGAAAGACCAGTGTTGGACGACTTTTTGAAGCAGATGTTCAGCCAAACTTCGTTGCACAGCTAAGCGGTCATAAAAATTTGAAAAGCCTCGACAGCTACCATTCAGCATCTCTGAANAGCGCATATTGACAAGTTCGAAGGCTGCACATTCAACATCAACGTTTTCTGTGGTGATCAGTCGAAGATCACAAGGCTGAATGAGAACTGATCGCTGAGTGATCGAGGCACAAACAGGCATTACTTAGATTGACATTGCACTTTTGGTCACTTTTCATTAATTGTGGTTTCAACCACAAGCCTTTTCATTGAGCTTGTATGAAAAATTTTGTCTTCATTCATTGATAAAGTTTGTACAAAGCTGGACTTTGAAAGTTATTTTGTCCTGTTTGGACTGGAGACTAGTGACATAAGAAAGCCAGCTAAATGCTTGAGCCTGTGCAGGGAAGCAAATAAAATTATTTGTTTTTGTTCCTTTCCTTTATTGTTTGGCCATATAATAAACATCTTATTAACTGAGTTAGGTCGGTCTGTATGGGAGAATCTTGACCTCAGTGCTGCATTGAACCCTTTGGACATGTCTGACCAAAGGTAAGTTACGTTTTTTGGGGATAAAATTTGTTTTGGGTAAACTACTTGTGTGCATTGTTTTTAATACTGCTTTTTTTCTTTCGCTTTCTTAGGTTTGTGACATTTCGGCGTGTTTTGGATGCAGAAATGAAAGAAGCAACGCGAATGGGTGTGACTTTGAAAGCAAAAGGAGACACATTGTAAAAGCTTACTTCTGAGTAATAAATATTCATCAATTTTGTGCAAGTTGTCATTGTGCATATTTTAGTGGTATATACCACTCTCACTGGAGAGTGGTATACTGTTTTTCGTTGGGTATCCAAACACATGCACGTGATGTGGTATACATGTTGTGGTTGGTAGTTGACCTTATGAATTATTAATGAGTTTGAGAAGTCATTTGAAAACAGTCATAAAGAGTAACCATAAAATAAATGTTTGAAGTCACTTAAAAATCAGTCAATCATCCTTAATCAAATCTCTTGGATGAGTCTCCTTGGGGGCACGGATACACATGGAGACTTTCGAGGCACAGGTTCAGTCAGGATCTCAGCACTTCCACTGGGGTCCACTGGGGAATCTGTGGACTCCTGAACTGAGACTGGAATAGGGGAAGGAGGGCTGCTCTCAGCGTCATGGTCAACTGTCTCTCCCTCAAATGCTAGACTGGTTTGGAATGTTGGGTCTTCAGCCAGAAGCTTCTTGAAGTAAGATGAATTACGTGTAACCTTTTGGTCGGCATTTTCTGCGGTTAGCATACTGTGATGCTTAGTGGCAGTCAACGGGGTCGGGTGATATGGCGTTGACAGCTTCTGTTGCTTTGGTTGTTTCACTAGCACTGTGTCTCTGACCTGAATGTCACAATCTTTGATGGTTCTTCTTGACTCAGCTCGCTTCTTGATCCCGAGTTTCTGCTGAGCATCTCTCTCACGTATGGTTACAGGGTTGGGTAGCTTGGTTCTAATTGGCCCACCAAACCAGGCGGTAGCAGGGGCAACACCGGTAGTACAATGGGGTGTGGCACGATAATTGCGAAGGAACTGGTACATATCTTGTTTCCAGTGTGCAGTGGTGCGCAGTACCTTTCCAAAGGTTTTCATAAAGCGTTCCACTTCTCCATTGGCTTTGGGCCACAAAGGAGGCACCTTTCGGTGCTTGAAGCTGAGGTACTTAGCAAATTGTGCAAACTCACCACCATTAAAGGGGGGGCCATTATCGGATTTTACCACTTCAGGTACACCACAGGCAGCAAATATGTGGTCGAGCTTAGGAATCACTGCTTTGGCTTTTAGCTAAAACTGTGGGCCCCAAATAGTTATGTCACACTTAAAATATGTCACACATTAATATTATTTTTATGCCAGTTTCCTAGATGCATTACCGAGCGGTTTGTATACGCAAATCCGTAGGTGTTGTTTCTTGCAAAATGCAGAATTGTATCTAGGTACATATACAGGTATACTTCATTGTATCGTTAAACTCCCTGAAGAAGTGTGCGCTAGTCACATGAAACGCGTAGGAGAAAATAAAAAGTTTTACAACTCAAGTAGTTCACAGACGTGCTGCTCACTGGTTTTACTTTAAAAAATTAAAAAAAAAATTGCCATCCACTGAAGTCAGCTCACTGCAGACATTGGCAAATATCTTGAGAGTACTTGCGTCGACTCCCTCCAGTGGCATCAAGTTATCCCACTGGCCAGTTGAGATAAGGTGCATTACTTCTTGAAGGGTGATATCTTTTCTGGTTGCTTCAATGATCTCTTCTCTGCTCAAAGCCTTGGGTGTGGCTTGAGACATCACAAAGTTGACATACTGCTCTGCAGACTCTATGATGAGATCACACTTTGTGTCACTCTGGAGATGCCTCAAGATGTAGCCTGCTGGATTCAGGTCACCTCTTGAATACAACACTTCGAAGTTGAAGGACTGCAGTTTGAGACGCCAGTTCTCAATCCTGGCTGAGGCTTGGGAAGTAGAGCTGTTGAAGATGGATAACAATAGCTTGTGATCTGTCTCGACTTTGAAGTGACTTCCCAGGAGGTACATACGGAAGTGATGACAACCCCATGCAATTGTCAATGCCTCACGCTTGATTTGAGAGTAGCACCTTTCCACACTTGAGAGGGCTTTGCTAGCATAGGAGATCAATTTGGCACCTTGAGTTAACACAGCACCTAATCCAACAGGACTGGCATCCACAAGCAGGATGGATTTCTTACTAGGGTCAAAATACGACATAACTTCATCTGAGGTGAGACTACGCTTGAGTCAATCTAATGCTGCTCAGTTAACATCTTCCCATTTGAATTCAACGCCCTTGTGAGTGAGGTCACACAATGGAGCCACAATGTCTGTGTAATCACGTATGAAACAAGACACAGTTGATCATGCCTAACAGGCTGCGCACATCGCTCACTGAGGTAGGTGCTTCTGCTTGCTTGATCGCTTCCACCTTTGCAGGGTCGGGTGCCATACCATCTGCACTAAAGACCATGCCAAAGAACTCGGTAGATGGCATGTAAAACTGACACTTTTCTTTTTTCAGAGTCGAGTTCAACTCCTTGAAGTGGGTTAGAGCAGCATGCAAAGTCTTATCATGTTCCTCTGTGTTAACTCCATAGATGATGACATCATAGCTAATGTTCTTGACACTGGGAATGTCATTAATAGCAGTAGCAATCACATCTTGAAATTTTTCAGCTGCAGCATTTACGCCAAAACTTAGGCTTGTCTACCTGAACAGACCACAATGAGTGGAGAAGATGGTAATATGCCTGGAGTCTGGGTGCACGACCAGCTGATGATATCCTTGATTGAGATCTAGCTTGCTAAACACCTTTGCACCATTGAGGTCGGGTACCACTTCGTCAAGAGTGGGCATGAGGTGTTTTTCTCGGGTTATTGCTTTATTAGCTTCCCTCATGTCCACACACAAGTGTACTCCACCAGGTTGTTTGGGCTTGGGCACCAAGACCACAGGAGATACCCAGGGGGTGGGTCCATCAGAAGGCTCGATAATATCCTGTTGTAGCAGGGATTCAACACAAGCTTCAAGATTCTTTATTTGATGAAATGGGATACGTCTATGTGATCGATGAACAAGTTTCACGTTCTCATCAATATCCAATTTGACCTCAACACCCTTCATCTTTCCAAGACCACTGAAAAGACTAGGGTAGTTTTGGAACACATTCCTTTCCACAGACAATGCATCTGCGATTCGCAGTATCCCAAGATCTGCAGCAGTTGTGTATCCAAGAAGAGATGTTTTGCCATCTACCACAAGAAACTCTGAGTCAACTGAATGACACTTGGATTCCAGTAAGGCCTTGAATTAACCCAGCACGGGAAGGGGTTTAGATGAGTTGAAAGCATACACTTTAGTATCACAAGATCCTAATCTACTATCCAACATCTTCAACACATCATAGCTTGCAATGTTCACACTGGCTCCAGAGTCCACTAAGAACTTGCATGTAACATCATTGACCTTTAATGACACAAAAGGAGCAAAGGAGAATGCAACGTAAATGTGTATTCATCATCTGAACTTGAAGGCAATGAGTGTGGCTTTGACTCTTCGTTCACTTGATTAATGGTTCGCGGGGGCTTGAAGTTTCGACATCTTTGCATCGTGTTTCCTTTTCGAGGTGTTCTGCCTTTCTCAGAAGACTGAGCCTTTTGAGAGCCTTGACAATACTGCACATAATGGCTGTATTTTTTGCAGGAATTGCACTTTCGATTCTGAGCAGGACACCCAGCTTTGGCATCGTGGGGCCAGCTTCCACCACAGTTAAAACAACGAGCTGTCTTGTCCGGTGTTTTGGACTTCTGAGGAAACACAGCCTTGGCACTTCCTGGAGATTCTATGTCAATCACTTGCTGCTCCAAGAATTCCAACGCTCTTGCTTTGGCTAACAGGGCTTCAAGTGTCATAGTCGAATCCCTCAGTGCTTTTTGGCGAAGATGCTGCAAAGTGCACAACTGAATTATTTGAGATTTAATTTCCTTATCGACATCATTGAATTCACATGTAGCTGCCAAATGTCGCAATCAAGAGTGATAGGTTCATGGTTTCACCCGAGCTTTGCTTCGCCTGCTGAAACGTGTATATCTCAAAGTCCCAATTCTTCTTCAGGTCAAAGTATACATTCAGCTTTGTTTTGGCTGTTTCAAAGTCTTCACCCATGTCCGGTAGAGTGTCAAAGATTTCAGATACTTCCTCTCCAGTGTAGTGCAGTAAAAGAGCTCTCTGTCTCTTCTTATCACTAATAGCAGCGGCAACAAAGAGGTTTTCAAGACGTTTTATCCATTTGCGCCATCATTGTGCAATCATGCCATCTGCATGTATGTCGAAAGGTTCGAAGGTTGGAAGGGCTGTAGCCATCACAAAGAGCACACACTCAGTTACACAGACAGTTATGAGTGTTTTGGAGCGATTTGCCAATCCTTGTCGCCAATGTAATATTCTGAACCAAGATGTATATCATAGAGGACAACACAAAGACAACACACCGGCCATATTTGAAGCACAGATATATATATTACTTTTAATCCCAGCATGCTTTGTTACATGAGGCAAGGCGTGCCACACTGTCATGTACATAGATAAACATTGGACCTTTAGTGATGGAACACTTCCGCTGTGTTACAACACTTGTTAATTTAGTTAATGTTTGATTTACGTTTCTTGGCTGGCCGCTCTAGGTGTTTCGTCATTGTAGATATCATATTTCTTAGCACGTTTCAGTTTATCGGAGTCGCACGTTTAGGAGTCGCTCGTAGTTCAACTTGGAGTATTTAGAGCTGTTTTCTTTGGAGTTTCCCACGCCCGGTGCTAGATCAGATGTAAGTCGTTTT